ACTCACCCACCACCCCACCGTGTTCCCCTCACCCCCCATTAATTCTCCCTTCCCAAGACAGAACAGACCACGGTCAGGATAGCAGCCCTGAGGGGAGGATGGGAAGTGACCTTCGAGATGTGACCTGAGGTGCTGAGGTCGGTGGCCCCAGGCATGGAGGCAGCCCTGGAGGGTGTCCCTCGTGACCTAGCGCGGCTGTGACACAACTACCACAAGAGGGTGGCTTTACAGAACCGAATTCTTATTTTCTCACAGCCGAGGAGTCCCGAAGCCTCCATCCAGGGGACCGGCTGCAGGAGACAGCTCTCTGTGTCGTCTCTGGGGCAAGATCTCTGTCTCCGCTTCTGCTGCCCAGCGTCTCCCGGTCCCGCAGCAGCTCTCGCACGGCATTGTCTTCCCAGTATGTGCTGCATCCGATGTCCAGGACTCAGAACGAATGATTACTGTCTCGTCAACATAACCAAGAAAAAAACCCCGTTCCAGACCAAGATGGCATCCGCAAACACATGAGCTCGGTGCCGGCACATATTTGGGGGTGGGGGACACAATTCAATCCATCACAGAGGTCCAGGAGCACGCCCCTCTCCAGAGTTATTGGGTCACAAGCAGGTGGCAGTGTGTGCGAGCCACTTCTCCCCTTGGCCTCCCTGGCCAGCCCTCTCACGGGTCTTCCCTCTGTCCTCGGCAGGAACTGATGCCCTTGACCATGCGGCTCCCCGCCGGCTGTCTGCTCAGGCCCAGCCTGTTTGACTGAGCCATTGCTGCTCCAGTTGTTTCATGTGAGTGGAAGGCGCAGGCCACACGCTGTCCTCTTGGGAGAAGGTGGCTGGGACCTGGGTGGGGAAAAGGGCTCTAGAAAATCACGGTCAGAGGTCAGGCCCTCAGGAGTCTTGAGTCAGCAAACCAGGTTTGCTCTCTTTGTTCCCCCATGGCAGGGTTGGCCACCGTGGGATCATTCCGGGCACTCAATCATTCTGGCCCAGCTCTGCTAGGCCTTAAGAGGGGGGCACAAGGACCTCGTTCTCATGTGCAAGAAGGAACCCAGAAGGGAGCTGGTATGATAAAATGCCCACAGCACTTATTCAGACACTTACCATGGTGTGACATTAGGTAAACCATTTAAGGGGTCTGACTCCCACGTCTGCCTGGTGGGGTTTTGGTAAAGTTCAGGGAGGTGTGTTAGCTCTCTTTTGCTGAGTAACAAATTATCACAAATTTATCAGCTTAAAACAACACTCATTGATTATATCACAATTTCTGTGGCTTAGCTAGGTCTGATGCCTCAGAGTGTTTCATGAGACGATAATCAAGGTGTTGGTGGGGCTGTGGTTTCATCTGAAAGTTCAACTGAGGAAGAATGCCCTTCCAGTCTCACTTACAGGGTTGTTGGCAGGATTCAATTTCTCTTTGGTGATTAGATGATGGCCACCCTCAGTCCTTTGCCCTGTGAACCTCCCCAACATACCACCTTGCTTCATGAACGCCAACAGGAGCGACAGTCTACCAGCAAGAAGGAAGTCACATCCCATCACTTTTGTCCTGTTCTACTAGTGAATTAGATACAGGTCACAGGACCCATCCTGACTCAAGGGGAGGGGATTACACAGGGTGTGAGAACCAGGAGGTGGGATTGTTTGGAGGTCATTTTAGAGCTTGCCTGCCCCTGGAGGTCGTCCAAGAGGAAGCGCTGTAGGGTGCTGTTTAGGTGTAAGGCATTATTGTTCTCATTTACATCTAGTTGTAGATAGAAAATAGGCTCACCGGCAATAACAGAGGGCCACTGGAGGTAGAACCATGAATAAGGCTGTAGGGATACTAGCCAGAAGCGGGCTGGTTCATTTCACACCCTCTGCAGGTGCCTTCCTGGTTCGTGGTTTTTCCATTAGACTTCAGCAACCATGACGGGTCTGAGACTTCAATAAGTAAACCTAATGCCGGGGTCTTTTGCAGTTTACGATGGGCCTTCACAGACATGAGTCTGTTTTGACTCACAGTCATACCTGTGAGCTGAGTTTTTTGTTCATCTCTGTTCTGCAAAGGAAGAGGTGTCCTGGTGGCGTAGTGATCCCTCATTGGGCTACTAACCACAAGGTCAGCAGTTCAAAACCACCAGCCACTCTGCAGGAACAAGACTTAGCTTTCTACTCCCGTAAAGTGTCACAGTCTCAGAAACGCATGGGGGCAGTTCCACTCTGTCATGTCAGGTGGCCATGAGTCAGAATAGGCCCAATGGCAGTGAATTTGAGTTTGGGTTTATTGACAAGTGAGGAAACAGAAAAAGGGGTCCGTTTCTAAGATGAGGTGGCTGCTGACTGACACAATTGGTCCTCACCCTGGGCCTCAGACCCTGCTCTGCCCGCACTGCTGCTGTATAGCCTCAGAGGGGCTGACGGAGGCGAGCCAAGCATGCTGGGCAGGGAGGAGGGCAGACACTCTCCTCGTATAGCTTCTCCATAGTCTCTGTCTCCTACCCAGGCTGGGCACATCGCAGGGGATGAGGTCAAGCCTTCAACAGTGTGGGACAACTGCTCTCCTGGCCTCAGACTTTCTGTCCCCGAAGCAGCCCTCAGTGGTGTGCAGACAGGGAATCGGGCTGTAGTGAAACTGCTTTCTGGCAGGGAGTCTCAGCTCTGTCTCCTCAGGCTGAGGTTCATCTCTGCCCTCCTCCAAAAGCCTGAGTGAGTCTCTAAAGGCTAACAGCCCTCCAGGCAGCTAGGCAAAGTCAAGGTTGAAGCATTTAACAGTGAAGCCCAAGTCTACAGATGAAGCCCAAGTCTATAAGCTGAAATATAGAATTTGCTGCCCTCTGGTGGTAAATCAGATTCATAACACCCAGGGCTGGGAAAGCAACGTGACACAGAGAAATGATTTTCACTGTTCTTAAGGGTCACAAGCAAAGGTGCTGAAGAAAGCTGATCGTGTCCGGCTATCAAAAGATACAGCATCTGGGGTCTTAAAGGCCTGAAGTTAAACAAGTGGCCATCTAGCAGGGAAGAAACAAATCCACAGGGAATAAGCACACCAGCCTGTGCGATCGTGAGGTGTCAACAGGATCGAGTAACAGGCATCAGAAGACCCCAAACAAACAACCATATTGTTGAGAATTAGGGGGGTCAGAGCAGAGACCCCCAAAACCTATTTGTAGACAATGGGACATCCCCCTTACAGAAGGGTCACAAGGAAGGGGTGAGCACGATATTCCTCTGGTTCCTTGAGGCTTCCTCACCCCCCACTATCATGACCCCAGTCCTGCCTTTCACTGTGGGATAGACCAGGGCATGTATACAGGTACAGATAAGAGACAAAAGCTCACAACACACAGAATCCAGGAAAAGGAATGGTAGTAGCCATACCAGGAGTGTAGAGGGAAGGTGGAGAGGAAGGGAGGAAGGAGAAATTGATCTAGATGATCAACACATAACCACACCCCCCAGGGGGAGGAACAACAGGAACCATGGGGGAAGGGAGACAGTGGTAGGTGTGAGATATGAAAATAATGATAACTTATAGTTTATCAAGGGGTCACGAGGGGGGGAGGGGGGAGGAGCTGATACCAAGGGCTCAATAGAAAGTAGATCTCTAAAAAATAATAACCGCAAGATATGTATAAATATGCTTGATATACTTGAAGTATGGATTGTTATAAGAGCTGTAAGAGCCCCCAGTAAAATGATCTCTGAAAAAAAAATTTTTTAAAGAGTCAATTCTGACTCATAGCAACCCTGTAGGGCAGAGTAGAACAGCCCCTGCAGGGTTCCAAGACTTCTCTAAGGGAGTCAAAAGCTTCATCTTTCCCCTGTGGACTGCTAAACTTGTATTTGCCAGCCCAACTTGTAACCCACTAGGCCAACAGGGCTTCAAGAGAAATGATTAGCAAACTTTTCTGAAGAGCCAACTGTATGCCGTGCGTGGCATAGTGGGCTGCACATTGAACTGTGAATCATGAGATCAGCAGTTCGCACCCACCAGTTGCTCTTTGGGAGAAAGTTGAGGCTGTTGGCTCCCATAAAGATTTAAATTCTTGGCATAGGGTCACTACCAGTCAAAATTGACTTGCTCCAGAGGAGGGGCAGGTAGGAAAAAGTATAAATAATAAAATAATAAGTAACTCCTGACCCCAAAGGACTTGTAATTTGGCTAAGGAGGGAAGACATCCCCACAGGAAAAGCTGACTAGCATCTCAAGGCAAAACCGGAACCATGGAGCTTCCATCACTGTAGAGGTCCCGAGATGAGCGAGGGCTGCTCATTAGTCGACTTGGGGAAGCTAAAGAATCATCTGAGGTCAATTTACGTCTGAGACCAGGAAACAAGGATCGCAATGAAACCCATGATCACCCAATGGCCTCTCCAGCTCTACTGTACACATTCGCCTGAAATCTGCTAAAACGTGGGTTCTGGTGTCTTGAGTCTAGAGTAGGGCACAAGCATCTGTGTTTTTAAGAAGCGCTCATGTGTAGGCCGAGCCGCTGGCCCACAGCCCACGTTGTGGGCAGCCCCAGGGCTGCATCTTTAAAGGGGTTCTACACCGGGCTGCTGGGTGGGTGCAGCCCTCTGGGAGCACCCTGTGGTGAGTAGATGGGATCTCTGGGTGAGGAAGAAGGTGCTTCTTCTGCCAGGTGAACACACCCAGCTGCACATCCTCGTGAGCAGAGTACAGGTTGGGTTCCAGCCCTGATGCACCCTTTGAGTCATGGACGACTTGCAAAGCCTTTCATAGGAACCACTCACAGGGCGGGATGGGGGAGGAGGCGGGCGGCATTTGATTCAGCCTCTCATAGTTGAGTCGGAGAAGGTAGTGGGGTGTTGGCTTCAGCCTGTCATCACTGAGTCAGAGAAGGTAGTGGGGTGTACCCGGGAGGTGTCTGTCTACTAGCAGTTGAAGACCTAACAGGAGCCCCAGATTTCAGATGCACTACTCTGAGCAGAGCGAGATGAGGCTGGGCTTTTCAGGGGGGATGCTATCCTTCCAACATCTCTGTCACTTTTGTTGTCTTGCAGGTCACCTGTTCCCTTTACTGAAAGTAAGTGCTCACAGCCCCTCCGCCCTCCTCAGGACGCCCAGGCACCTCCCCATCCTCTGCTCCCTCAGCACAGAGAGTTCCTGGGAGGCTCTCCATCCTGCTCACTAACCTGACAGGAGAGTCTGCCCCAGGTGGAACAGCCTCCTGCCCAGAGCCTTTCCAGCCCAGAACACTGCCCTCCAGTGTCCTCTGGCCTTGCCTGGTACCTGGTTTCCATGACAGTTTGAAGGAGGTGAGGAGCCTGCAGTGGGCCAGCACAGAGCCAAGGAGAACATTTGAGACTTTGGCCTTGTCCCCACCAGCCAGGAGCCACTGGTGTGGGTGCTCAGAAGGGCAGCTATGAAGAACATGCCCTTTGGGATGAACCAGCTGAGTGGAATCCCATCCAAGTCAATCTAAGCCTCAGTTTTCCCGTGTGAACAGTAAGGATAATTAATAACTATCCCTAGGTTATTGCAAGGATTAGGTATGAACTAATGCAGGGGTTGGAATGAAGGACATAGTGGCTGACATGGCCTCAGCCCTTGGTTAACAGACGCTGCGACTTTGTTTGTCCTACCTGCAACCATGAAGGAGCTCTGGTGGCCTAGTAGGTTACCGATTGAGCTGGGAACCACAAAGTCGGTAGTTCAAATCCACTAGCTGCTCTGCAGGAGAAAGACAAGGCTCTCTACTCCCATAACGAGTTACCATCTTGGAAACACACAGGAGCTGTTCTACTCTGCCCTATAAGGTCATTATTGACTCTGTGGCAGTGAATGGGGTTAAAATGTGCCTAGAGAGAGAGGAAAGGGGGAGGTGAGGGAGAAAGGAAAAGGCTGGCAAGAATTTCGTCCAGTTAGCAGTGTGCTCTCCCCTTCCTGCCTGAAGCTGGGTCGCCCCACAGTGAGGCTGGCCCCAAAGGACAGCCAGCCTCTGTCCTCAAAGCCCCTGGAGCCCAGTTCTCGGGGCCCTCCCTGATCAGCTCCCTGGGGTCGGTCGGCAGCCTGGCTGCCCCTCAGCGCTGGTGCCCGTGCCTTGCAGACGTGGATGGGGCACCGGGCGGATGACAGCGGGAACGGTTGTGATCACTGGCGGGATCCTGGCGACGGTGATCCTGCTCTGCATCATCGCTGTGCTGTGCTACTGTCGCCTCCAGGTCAGTCCTCTGGCCCACAGCAGACCCCACCCCCTTAGGGGGGCAGAAGCGAGAAGCCCACCCCAAGGGTGACACAACCCAAAGTCATGGGAAGTAGGGAGCACACATCGGGGAGGCTGGAGTTGGGGTGGTCAGGGGGCGCCGTGCCAAAGCCCTCACTGGGATCACTTGGACACCCACTTGTAGGGCGAATGGAGGCTCGCGGGGGCGGGGGGCGGGGCTATGTGGCTAGGCCCCTCCCTCGCTGCGCTCCGGAGGAGGAGGAGGTCTGGAGCACGTATGTATACCGTGGGGGACGTGCAGATCTGACAGCCAGCCGGAGAGAGGTGCACATGGTTAAGGGCTCGACTACTGAGCCAAAGGCTGGAGGTTTAAACTTAGTCAGAAACACCTGCTAAGAAGAAAGGGCTGGCAATCCGTTTCTGAAAAGTCACAGCTTTGAAAACCCTGGAGGGCACAGTTTGGAATAATCGACTCCAGGGCTTTGGCTTGGCCTGTCTCGCCTAGAGGCCGCTATTGTTCTGCTGGGCCTGAGCTGGTGGCTTGCTCCCTTCGGTAGGAGGCCTCAGCGAGTGCTGGGGGCCGAGGGAGCTTCCCCCCTTCTCAGGTGTCCCTCTACCCCCTCCCCACAGTACTACTGCTGCAAGAAGAGCGGAGCGGAGGATGCAGACGAGGAGGAGAAGGAGGAGGAGGAGCACGGTCTCCCCCCACGACCCAGAGGCCCCACCTGCAATGCCTGCAGCTCCCAAGGCGTGGACAGCTGCGGCAGCCTGGCCCCTCTCGCCAACAGCGAGCCGTGCGGGGCACCGGGCAACCACTGCACCACCTGCTCCCCTTACAGCTCCCCCTTTTACATCCGGACGGCTGACATGGTGCCCAACGGGGGAGGGGGCGAGAGGCTCGCCTTCGCTCCCGCGTACTACAAAGAAGGGGGACCCCTACCCCTCAAAATGGCAGCGCCCCAGAGTTACCCAGTGACCTGGTCAGGCTCTGGGCATGAGGCCTTCACTAATCCAAGGGCTATTAGTACAGACGTGTAACCCCTTCGACACCCCTCCCCACCACCACAACACACGCGCACACGCTGCCACCCCAGCAGGAGCAAAGTGGGCATTGGCCTCCCCGCCAACCTCTCCCCAGCAGCCCCATAACGACTCTCCTTGGGCTTCTCTTGCCCCACAGTGGAAGAACCACCCAAATTCAGGAGTGCTTTGAGAACCAGGGCAGGGCTAGGCTCCAACCGCGTGGCCTGGAAGCGGGGGCTTTAATTTCCCCTTTGTCCCTTTATCTCTTGGGACGCTCCTCTGGCCAGCCCAGCAGCACACCCCGACTCCCAGCTTTCTGAGAGCATGGGAAAGGAGCCCAAGGGAAAGTGGAGCAAGGCTTCTAGAGGGTTCCACATTGCTTGCCTGGGAGAAAGGGGACAGAGGGCCTATTTTGGGAGACCCCGCAGACCTGGTCGCTGCACCCACAGCACTGATGCCTAGTCCGCTGCGCCCGTCCCCTCTCCTTTCCTCGTGGAACTTGTCAACCTGGATTTAAAGGCTATGACATAAGGTCATTTGTGGGGACAGCACCCAAAATGTGATGGCCTCTCTCCTAGGCTCCCGGAAGTTCTCTTGATCTGCCGTAGGAGCCAGCTCCCCCTGCTGGAGGATGCTTTCTAAGTTTCCTGGCCAGAGTTTGAGTCGCTTAGCGGTCGAAATCTTGCTGATGGTTGCCTGGACCTACCACATCGAGTTCAGTTGCAAGATGTGTCACCCACGTCAACACCAGCAGACACTAGGGACTTTGCCACCTTCAAGGGCTGCAAAGTAGAGGGGGCTCAGATGTACAACTAGCAAGACAAATCTCACCTGCAGTCAACACAAACCAAAAGGGGATGAAGGTGCCCAATGCCCATAGCAACCAGCTGGCTGGTACAGGAAGAGCCCAGGAGCTCCGAGGGGCACTGCTGCGGCAGCTGCTGAAGTCACATCGACCCCTCCAGAAGCCAGGCTTTCTGCCAGGCAGCCATCGCTGAAGCCATAGGCCACAGCATCCCACCAGAGCCAGAGGGCTTTGACTTAGCAATCGGATTCCATGTTGGCTGCCCCTTACCCTCCTCCCTGTGCAACCCCCACCCCAACATGCACACAAACCTTCTGGAAATGGATCCCTTATTGCTCTCATCTTAGCCCCACATCCAATGCTCATTTCCCACTTATAACTCACTTATAACTCAGCAGCTGCCTTGTGCTTCTTAAGTAAATGTGTCTACTGAGTTTTCCAGTTCCCTCTGCCCCCAGTCCTCCTCTAAGATATACCAACCCTCTCACCTACTCCTGAGTCTGAGGGCTGCCGGGGCAGCCAGGGAAGGGGCTGTTTTCTTTCACAAAGGGCATGGGGCAGTGGGCTGTGGGGTGGGAGAAGGAATTCGCACCTTTATACATCACTCTGGTCTAGGCCTGTAGGAGTCTACTGTAGGCCCACTGGCTGGAGGGGCCAAAGGAACCCCAAGGGTGCTGTTGGGCAGTAGTTTGCCAGCTAACCACAAGGTTGGTGGTTCAAGCCCACCAGCAGCTCTAAAGAAGAAGGATGAGTTGATCCGCTCCTATAAAGATTTATAGCCAGAGAAACCCTCCCATGGCCGTTGTCCATGGAATCCACTCCAGGGTAATGGGTTTGGTTTGGTTTGGGGGTGGAGGGTCAGAGGGTCTGGGCTCTGGTCACACTTGGGGGATGTGAGTTAAGGGACAGAATACACGATTAGCAAGCAACCCCATTTAACTCTCTGCGACAGCAAACATGTTTGTCTTCCCCTCCTGCTGAATGAACCCAGAGGGTAACCTTGTCAAAAAAAGGCAGAGGGAGGTAGTGAAGTCCCAAAGCAGAGGGGGCAGCTGAGGACAGTGACTTCCCCACACTCCATCCCCCCACCAACCCTCACTTCACATGCCCGGCTGGGCCGGGCAGGCCTCACCCTCCCTGACCAAGGGTCAGTCCTGTGTCCTGCTCCCTGGAATTCCAGTCAATGAACCACAGCAGCCATGTCCTTCCTAGTCAAAATGCCATCTTGCCTGTCTGTGGAAAGTTCAAGACAGCCCACTTAATGATCCCACACTTCTTATCCCTGACTTATGAGGGTTCCCAGTGCCAATCACCTGTGCTTGTAGCTTCCCAGCCCAAATTATGTCAGCCCACAAATAAAATCTGGGGTTTGAAGCGATTGTGGGTCAGGCTCTCCCACACACAGACCCACCCTGCCTTAGCACTCGGGCCCCACCCTGGGCTCAAGCCGGCCTGCCCACCGGCCTCGCCAGCAATGGAGGCCCACCCTGTGAAGGATGGAGCTCACCCCACTCAACCACACTGTACTTTTTGTAGCTGCGGAGTCTGTCCTAGGGGACACAATTTGTACACTTTCCGCAAACTGCACCATAAACAGGAAGAGGAGGAGGTGGGACTGTGGGACACGTGGTCCCCTCTGCCATCTTGTCTCCATCTCCATTTCACTTCTCCTGCTTCTGAGTTTTCGTTTCTTGTCCCGCATCTTTGATAACTTGGAGTTGCCACCAACTGAATGTCAAAAATAAATGAGGAATTTGAAATAGAAATCCCAGTGTCCTCTGTTCTGCACCTGGGAGGGGTGGCTGGACACAAAAGTTTAAGAGTGTCCCCTGCTGCTTCAATCTCAAAGTCATCGTGTTCAACACCCAGAAAATCTGTTTTCAATACCAAAATCTACATGGTAACAAATCCCCTCCCTCAGACTGCCTGGCACCCCCGTTGCCTCTGCTGGAGTTCCTGTCCAAAGAGCTCTTGTTCACTGGAAAAGAGAACTGTAGTTTCTGTTGTCCCCTGAAGTTAAAATGTCTGTCCGAGGTGCTGAGCCTTATTGAGGAGCAAGCCCGGCTTCAGCCTCTCCTGGCTGCCCCCTTCCCCACCCTCATCCCCAGGTCTGTGGCTTCTCTCTCTCTGTAGCTTGAGTCCACCACCTCTCCGAGGCCTGAGGAGACCCAATCCCAGTGCCACAAAGGCAGCCCTTTGCATGTTCGGAAGGGAGGGGAGAAAAGATGGTATTCCAGACAAGATTCTCAGGTCAGACCCCAGCAAAGACAATCAATACAGGAGACATTGGTGTGCGGTAGGAACTGGAGAGCCAGAAAATAGCTGTGTCTTTTTAGAAGGGAAATTTCAGGGAGGACGAGGATGATAGGTCTGTGTGAGCTTTGCCCATGGGTGGTTTGGTGGGCGGGGAGGGCATGAGATCGCTCTTCCTTCTGACAGTCACAGGAGCCTGGTTATAGCCAGATGGGCCTCAGTTACCCCCTAAGCCTGTGTGAACTACTTCCAGATTAGGTCCCTACCCTCAGATGACAGCTATGCCAGCAGGAATGCAGTCTAAGACTGGCCTTCCTCCCTAGGCACCTTCCCTCACCCCATTAGTTCATTGGTTGGTAAAGGATACGTACCCATCCTTACTGGGAACACTGCCTTCCACATCCTCTCTGGATGCCGGCCAGTTCCTTTTTGTTTTTCCTCTTTCCCTTCTTTATTATTATTTTTTAATCCATCACAGTTTCATTTATATAAAAATGGGAAATACCAGCTACTTCACAGGGGCAGAAAGGTGAGGTTGTTGAGAATGGGGGTTCAGGGAGGAATGAAAAGGAAATTTTACAGTGATTACAGTGGGACATGAGGACAATTTTGGAGGGGTATGCTCGCGATTATGATGGCTTCAGGGTTGTAAGCTCATCAAATTACACACTTCATGCAGAATTTTTTATGTGTCAATCGTACCTCCAGGAGCCTGTTAGAAAAAGTTATTGCTCATATGCTAGGAGACCGTTTATTTCTTTATCCATTCTTTCTCTGCTTTCCTTCTACGTATTTCTTTGCTTCCTTCACTTCCCTTTTCTACCATTTTTCTCTATTATGTATTCTTCACTTTCCTTTTTGCCCCTCCTTAGTTTTGCTTACTGCATTTTTGTTCTTTTTCATTGTATTTTCCTTTGGTTTTTTATTTTGTTATTTTTTTATTATTGAATTATTTTTTTTCTTGCTGCTCTTTATTGTTTTCCTTTGCTTGCTTACCTTTTTTTTTCTACTTTGATCTTATCTGGTTTTGTCTTTTTCTCTTGTTTTCAGTTTGTTTGTTTTTCTTGTTTTATCTGGTTTGCAACAACAACCATGTCCATGCAACCCAGCCACCACCATGCTTCCTGAAGCCTCACCTATAAGGCGAGGGCCACTAGCAACTCCTGCACTGCCTGATTATTGATAGGCAGCAGCCAATACCAACCACACCCACCCTCAACTATACCGCCATAACAGCGGAGAACGAACTATGCACATACTCACTTTCTCTATCACACCCAGCAGGAGACAGGTGGTCACAGGAGGGCCCAAGGTCACATCAACATACAATCATAAATGAAATACAAATACAGCTATACCACAATGTCTTGGGAGACAACAGATCGTTTCAGTTCACACACACACACACACACACACACACACACACACACACACAAAGAGTGGATTAAATAAGTGACCCAAAATAGAGACCCAGAAGGTCTTTTAGAAGGCATTAGAACTTCTTGACAATTAAAAAAAAGTATTTATATTCCTTCAATGGATTGAGAGAAAGATACAGGAAACTACAGAGAGATGAAGGGAAAACTTTAGAAGAATTCAGGAAAGCTCTGTAAGAAAAATGAATGAAAGATTAGAAACCATACAAAAATAGATGATAGAAATTCTTAAGATTTCAGGAAGAGATACTATGTTGAAAGAGCAAATGAGCAGAACTGAGTCCATGGAAGACTAACTTAGTGTGCTAGTAGGCCGATCTCTAAATATGAATCCAGTCAAGGTACAGTCACAGACAGAACCAAAAGATCTAAAGAAAATCCAAGAACTGTGAGGGCCACAATCAAGTGGAATACCAAAATCATAAAGATTTGGTAAACACTGACATCAACAATGTAGTGCATGAGAAGAAAACAAAACAAACTCGGCACAGAAACTCGTGTGGAGTAAAGAAACTAGCAGCACCAAAGATTAAAAAAAAAGAATTAGTTAAAATTTCAGCAATAAATTCATACCTATCAATAATTACATGGAATCTAAATGGATTAATGTACTGCTCAAAAGGCAGAGAGTAGCAGAATGGGTGAGAAAACAGGTGCATCAATGTGCTGTCTACAATGTCGACAAATGCAAAAATGGACTCAAAATCTAAGTATAGAAAAAATATACACCAAGCTAACAGCAATAAAAAAGTGCAAGAGTGGCAATATTAATTTCAGATAAATTGGACTTTAAGGTAAAATCCAGCATAAGAGACAAGGAAGAGCATTATTTAATCATTTAAGAGTCAATCAAACAAGAGGACATAACTATAATAATTATGCATCCAATGAAAGAGCCTTAAATACATTAATCAAATCTTTAAAGAGTTGTAGAGAGAAATAAGACAATTCTACAGCAATATACTCCACTTTTGATAAGGCACAAAACAGCTTGAGAAATTCAACAGACACAAAGAATTAACCAACATAACCAACTAACTTGACCTTATGGACATATACAGAACACTCCAACCAACAACACAATATGCACTCTTTTCCAGCACACATGGGATAGGCTTACGAATATAACATATATTAGGGGGGAAGTTAACACAAGTCTTAATAAATTTTAAGACATTGAGATCATATAATACATATTCTCAGAGCACAATGCCATAAAATTAGAAACGACAATAGCAAGATCAAGGAAAGTAAATCAAATATATGGACATTAGCACGCTGCTTTAACACTATTGGCAAGTGAAAGACATTTTTAAATGAACTAAAATCAAATGAGAATGAAAACACAACAAACCAAAGACTATGGGATACAGCAAAAGCACTGCTCAGAGGTCAATTTATAATAATAAATGTATAAATCAAAAAAGAAGAAATAACTAAAATCAACATCTCCAGCAATTAGAAAACCAGAAGTAAAATACACTTATATTCACTAGAAGAAAAGAAAACTACAAAACACTACTAGAGCAATTCAAATAGGCCTACAAAAATGAAAGAGTGCTCATGGTTAGGAAGATATAACATTGTGAAAATGTCCAAACATTCACACTCACTTCCATTGAGTTGATTCCGACTCATAGTGACCCTATAGGACTAGATAAAACCTCCCCTGAAGGTTTCTACGACTACAACTGTTTATGTGAGTAGAAAACACCTCTTTCTCCCTTGGAGCAGCTGATAAATTGCTTACCTTTTGGTTAGCAACCAAAGACATAACCCACCACACCCCCAGGGGTGAAAATCTCAAGCACTATCCAAATGTGGGAGCAGATTGTCTCAGGATGGACTCTGAGGAAGGAAAAGTGCCAAAATCTCTGAATGCAGAGATATTGGTGCTAAATTCTCCGAACACTGAGAACCTGGAGCAGAATACTGTCCCTGGCGTCTGAGTAACAAAGCACATTAACAGAACCTCATTTCCTTCTTCAAGTGGTACAGGACCATCACGTTCCACGGTTTAGGAAGGCCCATGGGAAGGAGCTGACAACTCAACCTGGCAATCTGAGGCACTGCATGGTGTGAACTTCAACAGAGATAAACACGTCCTTTCCTGTTCCCCGGGGAAACGGCTTAAACAAAGAATTCTGCAGGTGTTCAGTTATACTCCCTATTTCTGGCTTTATCTTCCCCTCCGGACCTAGACAAATTGGCTGAAATGGTATTGCTTCTGTGTTTGCCTTCAAAGAAATCGTCAACAAAAGATTTGTGTGATAACTTGTCATGGAATGCAGGGTACGTGACAAGTACTGTATATAAACTTGCATTGAATAAAGTTCTGAGCCTTGCAGTACCTTCTCCTTGAGGCCTCTACACCCAACTTTGTTTCTTCTCTTTATCTCTGGTATCCTTATTAATTGCACTGGGCCCCTCTCGACCCTGGTTAGATTTATGAGCTGGTTATCACACCCAAAGTGATCTAAAGATAAAATGCTATTCCAACAGCATTCTTTAAAGAAATGGAAAAGTTAATCACCAGCTTTATATGGAAACGAAAGTCACTCTGGATAAAGCAGTACTAAAGAGCAACAGAGTAGGAGGCTTCTCACTTCCCAATCTCAAAATCTATCATAGAGCCATGGTAGACAATACAGCCTGGAACTGGTACAATAGCAGACATGTTGACCATGGAATTGAACTGAAAATCCAGAAGTAAACCCATCCATCAGGTGATCAGGTGATCTTTGACAAAGGCCCAAAACACATTAAATAGGGAAGAGATATTCTGGTGCTGGTAGAACTAGATGTTCATTTACAGTAGATGAAACAGGATCCATATCTCACTCCATATGCAAAAACTAAATAAGAATCAAAGACCTAACTTTAAACCCAGAACTATAAAAGAGCGATGAAAAAAATAGAGGCAAACTTCAACTCAACTTACTGCCATCAAGTGGATGCCAGCTAATATCAACCAGATAGGACAAGGTAGAACTGTCCCTGTGGGTTTCTGAAACTGTAACGTTTTGGAGAGGTAGAAAGCCTCATCTTTCTCCTTCTAAGAAGCTGGGATT